CAGTATAACCCAGAAAGTTATGGTGTTGGAAATCCTAAAGGAACCAAAAAGCCTTCCACTGAACTTTAAATGAGAAGTGCATAAACAGTCTGATGCAACATTGGTCTGATGCTACAGCTGTCCCCTGATGGGGCTCTAAGACCAAAAACCAAGAGATCACATGACCACCGATCATACAGTTCTCAGTCTGCTCTGAGCAAAGAACTGTGACTGTCAGTCACCGATCTGTGCTCGGGCCCTACAGCGCTCACTAGATCGCCAGGCTATGGAGGGGGCATGGGCGGCTAGCTCAGGGTGATTTAGTGGAAGTTGGGAACAGAAAGTGGATTTTTCTCGGTACTGTACTCGAGAATCTACCAGTGCCGGACCCTGAACAGATGTACTCCCAAATGGATGTACCGTTTCCCAACAACATTCTCCAATAATTCTCAATTGCAGACTTGCCTCACCATGTTCCTAAATCTCTGCATGTCAGTACTGTTTGGACAGGGGTAATGGGGAAATCTTGTCTTGAAAACTGAACTGTTAGTACAGGTAAAAAAAAAATACCATGGACAGCTTTCCACTATCTTGTTGCAAGTGCACTTATACAGATACAGTCAACATAAAGCACACTTTTTGGCAGTGCTCACGCTGCATGGGCCAACTCCTCATTTTGGTGAGAAGAAAGGTTATACTCACCCAATCCTTCATTCCACCAAAAAAATACGCACCCCCTTGGTCCAGCTGTGGACTGTTCCTACTCTATACAGCCTGCTCTGGGTTTGATGATGTTTGATGATGTCAGGAGCAGTCCACAACTCAAGGCCGCAGGAGTTCGGGGTGTCGAACAGGTCTTGTGTTGGGAGGGTCAGAGGATTAGGTAAGTATATGTCTGCTCTCCTCTCCCATAGACAAAAATGAGCAGTTCATCCGTGAAGTGCAGACACAGCCCCATTGCATAAGAACACTTTGTTTTGTCTAGAGCATTAAAGTACAACTGAAGGCAAAAAAGTTATTTCTTAGTTTTGGATTAGAACACCTGTCAGGTTTTTATTGATGTCTGTGCCTCTGTTAGGGAGATTTGTCCTCTCTTTTCCCATGTTAACCATTATTACCAAGACTGAAAGTGAAATAATCCCAAAATTTGGTTGTTTTCCCAACAGAAGTAGAAGTAAAATCTTCCAGTGGTGACCCTGGTGACAACCACCAATTCCCCATTTTGGAGGGATTTCCTGTCAATTCCAGTTTTGGTTATGGGACAGGAAATGAAGGGACATCTCCCCAATGGGGCACAGATGGCCAAAGAATAACAACTGCCAGAGGTTATAACTCTCCCTTATTCTATCCAAAATTTGCCCTTAGTTTTGTTTTAACCGCCTCCCGCCCGCCATATAAGGAAATGATGGGAGGGCGGTGGTTCTCTTGTTCTGGGAGGACGTCATATGACGTCCTCCCACTTCAGCTGCGCATGCTCGCCCTCAGGGGCATGCGGCACGGCGATCCGTGGAGCGCTGTGTCCCTGGGACACAGCGGATCACCAATCGCAGTAAAGAGTCGATGATGCAGGCTCTATCATGTGATCAGCTGTGTGCAATCAGCTGTGATTGCATGTAAATAGGAAATGCCGGTTGTTGGCAGTCCTCTCCTTACGCTAACAGTGCATGAGTGGCATTCCTAAGAGGGGACATGTACACTGATCATCAGGGCATTGATTATCCGTGTAGCCCCATCAGTGCCACCCATCAGTGCCCATAATTGCCACCTGTCAGTGCCCATCAATGCCACATACCCGTGCTAATCAGTGCACATCATTGCCACATATCAGTGCCCATCAGAACCACCTATCAGTGCCAACTATCAGTGCACATCAGTGCCAACTATCAGTGCTGCCAATCAGTGCCACCTATCAGTGTCAGTCAGTGCCTCCTATCAGTGCCAGTCAGTGCCTCCTATCAGTGTTTGCCAGTGCTGCCTATCAGTGTTCATCAGTGCTGCCTATCAGTTCCCATAAGTGCCGCCTATCAGTGACACCTATCATTGCCGCCTATCAGTGTCCATCAGTGCTGCTTATTAGTGCCATATGAGTGCTGCCTTTCAGTGCCCATCAGTGATGCCTGTCAATGTCCACCAGTGATGCCTGTCAATGCCCATCAGTGCCTCCTCATCCGTGCAGCCTATCAGTGCCCATCACTGCAGCCTCATTAGCGCACATCAGTGCAGGATAAAAATTACTTATTTTCAAAATGTTCTGGCAGAAACTAAAAAAAAAAGTTTTAGTTTGTTTAGCAAAAAATAAAACCCCCAGTGGTGATTAAAAACCACCAAAAGAAAACTCTATCTGTCTCAAAAAAAGATAAGTATTATTATTATTATATATTATTATTATTCAGTATTTATAAAGCGCCAATGGTTCGCTCAGCGCTGTACATTACAAAGGGGGACAGAACATGTGACAGAACAATACCAATACAATGCAAAACATGAGGGGATCGAGGGCCCTGCTCTATTATGGTTGGGTACAGTGTTGCATGACCGCGCAATTGCCATTCAAAGTGCGACAGTGCTGAAAGCTGAAAATTGGCCTGGGCAGGAAGGGGGTAAAAGTGCAAAGTAGGCTAGTGGTTAAACATATCCAAAAATGGCAAATCCCCGCGTTTGCACTTGGCACTGCAACTTGTTTCCTGAAAACTTTCTTCAAAAGGGTTTCAGGAGGAGGATGTAGGCATTTGTAATTATCTTTGAAAGAAAAGAAAAAGTAAATTTTGTAGTAAATTTTAAAATGTTTGCCCAATTCCCCTCTTTCTTTTATTCTTCAGTCAAACCTCACCTACTGTTCCTGCTTGTTCTCTTTCCCTATTATCTCTGCAGTGGTGTCAGAGCCAACACAGAAAGGATGTGTTTGTAATGCATAATTCTAAGGCCAGAAAGCGAAGCTTATTGCATTAAAGATACCAACACTGCAATATTTAAATTACATTCCTTTTGATTTTGTTTCCTAAGCCTTTTTCTTTTGGATGACAATTCCCAGCATATTATTTGATAAGACTTTGTTTGCAGTACATCAAAAAATAAATTGCATTTATTTGAAAAAAAAAAGGACAGGAAAAAAATGATATTATTTTTTTTTGTTGTTATATTTTTCTCAGTTGGCTTTGCTTTTGCTTATGTGAATATATTTGCTTTCCGGGCTCATTCTAAAGTACGTTTAATTATTGTGTTTAAGAAAAAGAAGGGAACATTTGGATCTTGCTAGTTATTTGTTTCTTCATTTATGCCAGGGAAGAGAAGAGTAATGATATTCTGTGTAGAAATTGTATTACATTTAAAGTGGAATATATCATCTGAAAACACTTCTCCGCAGCCAAATGTTATTAATACAATATAACGAGGTTAGTTTTTTTTTTTTTAACTGGAAAAAAAAGGAAAGCTTCTGGTAAGTCATACTGCAATGTTGCTTTTAAATAGAACGTTTCTCAGCTTTATGTCTGGTACAGAGAGCTTTCCGTGCTATGGAAGGACTGAGGAATTTGCCAAAAGTTTAAGATTCAATAGCAATTCAACAGCAGCTCCCATATTTAGTTCCAGGCAGGTCCCTTTTAAATATCCTTTGTATTTACTATGTAACAATAGCTATCATGTAATGATGCACCGATATATTGGCCACCAAAAATTATCAGCCGAAAATCAGGTTATCAGTGTTTTTGCAGCTAGAAAAAAAAAGGTGCCAATAATGGCCGTGTTTTTTAAAAAAAAATTATCGTGAAGCATATTTAAGTTTTTTAATTACATATTTCCTTTTATTTTCTGTCCACTTTTATACAAAAAATATATTTAAAAAAAAAAAAAACTGTCCATTTTGGTTTTTGGCCAAATGCATCCTGAATTTTTGGTTTCTGTCCAGAATTTTCATTTTGGTGAGATCTGTCACTACTATCATGCTGTTAAGAAATCCAAATGTGTTGTACAAAATTTGGTGAGATCTGTCTAAAGCAGCCCATCGATGACTGGATTTTCTTTCCTTGGGCAAAAGGAAAGAAAATCGCTTGAATCCCCTCTCAACACAGTGTTGATGGAGGAATGCCTCCTGCAGCAAAATTGTGTCTTTTCCCAGGGGGCGGTGAAGGGAGAACACAATGACTGCTGCTGGTCGCTATAGCCACTGGCAGTAATCACATGTAAAAAAAATCTGACCAATCGATCTATAGATTAATTTGGGTACAATCAGCCTGCCCATACATGGAACAAATCTTGGCTGGTCCCTGATGTACCGGCTGAATTTCAATCCATGTAAATCCAATGCAAATTAGTTCTCCTTGCAAATAATGCAACATTTATAATTATTAGTTGGTATGTGATACACTTCGGTCCATCTGGAGAGCAGTGATGGACTCTGGCATCATCAGCACCTCTGTTTCAAGGTCTCCTCATATTGGTTCTGTTGATCATCTGCCTGCTTTTGCACAGTAACATTTAGGCCTCAAGTACACTTGATATTTTTAATACTGCTTTAAAGGGCATCTGGTGGTTTTTTTCTGCCTCTAAACCCCCCCTGCATGTTAGCCTGTTTGTCCATGTACATATAGGTGTTTGAAGGAGTTTAAAGTGGGGCATTTTGAGGCAGAAATAACTCACTGCCAGCGTGTCCAGTAGCAGCAGCGTTTTGGCAGAAAAAAACTCTAGACGCATATAAATGCATCCAAATGTGCGGTAACAGTAAGCATGTTTAGCACTTGAGCATTACAGTAGAACAATAGGCAAGAGAGGGTTATAACCCCTGTCAGTTTATTTTTTTCCATCTGTGTCCCATTGGGGAGATTTATCTTCACTTCCTGTCCCATAGCCAAAATAGGAAGTGAGAGAAAATCCCTGCAAATTAACCCCCCTGGTGGTATTCCCGAGTGTAGCTCGGGGTAAACTTTCAGTACCAAAAGCGGTAACCCCGAGCTACACTCGGGATTTCCCTACAGCATTGCTCTGGGATTCCCTGTTTTACTTACCTTGTCCTTCGCTCCCGCGATGTCCCCCCTGCAGCATCCCTGGCCATCTCCTCTGGCCGATGCCGGCATCCGTCTTTCGGGTTCCGGTCCCTGCGAGCATCGGGACATACGGGGGACGTAACTGGCGGGAAAGTTAAAAATTTTAAAACGTGACATTTACTAAATACACATAAATCACATAGTAAAACATTACTGTATCAAACCATTTCACATACATTTTGTCCCGAGTGCTTTGTCCTGTGCCCTGCCTGCATTTTTACTGTTCTTTCTGCCTGGAAACTGAGAAACGTTCATGGCGTCCAAAAAGAGTCCCTTTAGGTCAAAAGTGGTTTTAGACCAGCTAGAGAACAGCGATAGTAAATCAGAACCACTTGCAGAATTGAGTGATAATGATTTGTGGGGGAAATTCATCATCAGACACTGAAAACGATTTTGCGACTAAGCTCAGTAATGTGCGAACTTGGCGCTCTATTTCAAATTTCAGTGTTTTTGGTTTGATTATATTATTGAATTAAATTTATTATTATTATATTATTATTTTTTATGATTATTTATTATATTATAATTTATTATTTCGTGTTTCAAATTTTATCATACCCGGGGTGTTTACTAGACTCTTGTTCGGACAGATTTCAGTGAGTTATTCCTAAAAATTACAGTCCTACAATAAAAAAACGACATATTTCCATGCAAAAAATTTACCATTTTGAGCACAGAAATATTGACATAATCAGACCGCTAGGGAGGTTAAGGGAATTCCTTGGGGACCCCCAGGTCACCAGAACCAGTGTGCCCATTGAAAGATTTCCCCTATACTACTTCTCTGGGGACAACCCACAATTTGCTTCTTCTTTTTTTTTTACGTTCACTTTCAATGATAATGGTAAACTAGAGAGGGCCGTAATGGACACAGACAGCACTAAAACCTGACTAATCCCTCTCCACTGTCCAAAACTAAAAAAAATTTGCCTTTAGTTATATTTTAACTCATTTCAGTGTCCAGAACAAATTATTATCCTGGCCAATGAAATTAATAAATGCTCAAGCGCTTGACAACCCTAAACGTGTTACACACTGAGTCACAGTGGACTCCAAATACTACATAAAGTACGGTTCCTAAGGGGGCAGTTAAGATATAAATACATATTTCTAGCATTACTCTTTAAAATGACTGTCACTATCTGAAAAATGTTTTTAAAAATGGCTTATCTGCAAAGAAAAGGGGTAATAGTCACTCATCCATGTCTTTATGGACCTTGCTTTGTGCACTGGTGCGCAGTCATGTTGGAACCGGAAGGGGACATTCCCAAACTGTTCCCACAAAGTTGGGAGCATGAAATTGTCCAAAATGTCTTGGTATGCTGACGTCTTAAGAGTTCCCTTCACTGGGACTAAGGGGCAAAGCTCATCCCCTGAAAAACAACCCCACACCATAATCCCCCTCCACCAAACTTTACACTTGGCACAATGCAGTCAGGTAGTACGTCCATCGGATTGCCAGACAAAGAAACGTGATTTGTCACTCCAGCAGACACATTTCCACTGCTCTAGAGTCCAGTGGCGGCGTGCTTTGCACCACTGCATCCGACACTTTGCATTGCACTTGGTGATGTAAGACTTGGATGCAGCTGCTCGGCCATGTAAACCCATTCCATGAAGCTCTCTACGCACTGTTCTTGTGCTAATCTGAAGGCCACATGAAGTTTGGAGGTCTTAAGCTACTGACTCTGCAGACAGTTGGCGACTTCTGCGTACTGTGCGCTTCAAAATGCGCGGACCCCATTCTGTCATTTTATGTGGCCTACCATTTCCTGGCTGAGTTGCTTAGGTTCCCAGTTTCATCAGCTTTGTTATAATACCACTAACATGGATGGACTTATTGCACAGGTGGCAACCTATCACGGTACCACAGTTGAATTCACTGAGCTTCTGAGAGCAATCCATTCTTTCACAAATGTTTGTAGAAGCAGTCTGCATGCATAGGTGCTTGTTTTTTTTATACTTGTGGCCATGGAGGTGATTGGAACCTGAATCCAATGATTTTCAATGGGTGTCCCAATACTTTTGGCAATATAGTGTAGATCCCAACAGAAGGAAGTGTGAAAAGAACCATAGAGCAGGAACCGGTATCCAACACTTGCAGAAGTATAGGCAAGTGCAGCAATTGATGATTGTGGAAATTGACAAGAGGAGTACGTTTTAACCCTTTTCTTTGGGAAATCTTTTTTATTATTATTATTATAACATTCATTTTAAGACAATTTAATGAAAAAGGTATGAATATATGGGAAGGTAGATAAATGGTACTTTCGGTCCCAGAGTTATAGTGGAATATAATCAACTATTGCCCTGCTAACTCCACTCCCTTAAAATCATTAATGGAAATGAACACCCAAAACATTCACCTTCCCTGCAGAAGCCACTGTTGTGGGGCTCAGAGGGGCCTTAGCATTTGGCTGTGTAAGTTCTGCTGAAAAAGTATCAGCCTGTCTTAACCATGATTCTCTTCTGTAGAACTAATCATGTGATTAATGCCTAGATAGTTACTCAACTGACCATCCATCATGGTATCTAGAAGCAATTGAAGCCTTTGTTGATGTTCCCAGTTGGGTTGGGGAAATAAATACATTAAATAAAATACCCTTAAGCTCAAAAATAGAAATTTCCTCTTAACCCCTTTGGGCATTTCAAGAAAATACCAACAAGAGGGACAGTGACACCTTTATTTTCCATTGACGCTTTTTTTTTGTTCTAAAATGACACTGGGATTATGTTATTTGAGCAGTTTAATGTAAAATATGGAAGCTTACTGGCAATTGTAGCCCCAGGTGGAGTTTGATTTGCATTCTCTTTGGCTTTGTTGATAAATTAACTGCTCCCAGAATGCATAGCTGTCCAACATTCTCCTATACATCAGACCTATGAAGGCCAATGTTAATTTATAGAACTGTACATTAAACCCTTCTGTATATAAAAATAAATTTCCACTTTATAGGTTGAGAAGTAAACAAACTGTTCCAAAAGCCCTGTTGCTAATGTTGTTACATAGTGTCAAAATGAATAAATTTTGTTTAACAATGGCAATCTGTTGTTTGCATAGGGGATTTGCAGAATTATGAGTGCTGGGACTGTGAATATTCCTCTAGTTGTAAATTGATAAAATAGCACACAAACCTAACCTGATTATGGAGAGATGGAGACAGAAGATGCCACAACTGCTGTTTGTTTTTTGTCTGTTTGTTAGGGGAACCGAACACAGAGTCGAGAAAATGTTTGTGTGGGCGTTCTGCCCTTGTTTAACCTCAGGTCTGTAGACCATTTACAGAGAAGTCAGTGTTGAAATCGATAGACTTATATTTAAGTCATCAATTATGGAAAAAGCCAACAAAAGTTCAAGACCAATATTTGCCCCTTCCTAGCCAACTACCCAAGTACATCTCATATATATATATATATATATATATATAGAGAGAGAGAGAGAGAGAGAGAGAGAGAGAGAGAGAGATTTTCTTTGCCTGTCATGACTTGGATATTTCAAAGCAGGAGAACAATTTGGGCATCACATAGATAGTATTTCACTTCTTGCCTGTCCTGGAGGTCAGCAGCATCCAGGTCAAAGAGTCAAGGGGTCTTTGCACCCAATTGGCCCATATCTGTTGTGATGGGCCCCAAAGTCTCAGTAGGTCAGTGCTCAGCTGCATAGTCTGGCACAAATCTATATTGCTTTTATGAAGATAATGGATGAGAGCTCAAAGTTGTTGTTGGGGATGGTCAACACATTTTTATTTTTCCCAACAAAATGGTATTGCAGAAAAATTAAAACATCTTATCTGGACCAATTCTGGGCCAGTTCCTATGATTTGAAGATCTCATCCTTTCTCTCCGTACAATGTCTTTCATTTCTCGCCTGCCCTGGAAATGAGCAGTAACCATGTCAAAAAGATAGGGGGTCTCTGCACCCAATTGACCCACATCTGTTGGATTAGGCTCCTAGGTCTCAGAGGGTCCTTGCACAACTGCACAGTCCGGCACAAATTATTCAATCCCAGGTCCATGTCAGGTTATTATTGCTTTTATGAAGAGAACAGATGAGAGATCCAAATCATTGAGATTGGTCAAGACATTAATTTTTATTTTTCACAATAAAATGGTTTATCCAAAGTCAATTTTCAATAGACTGTTTTATTGCAGAAAAATACACATTCTAATCTGGACCAATTCTGAGTCAATTCCTATGATTCTCTCCATGCAATTTGACTTTCCCAGGAAAATCATTTGGGGCTCCTCCGGGCAGTAGAGAGCTGATAAGCTATAACAGTTATTCAGTCCCAGTTGGGTCACCATGCTTTGAGCCCAACACTCCATCACACCAATGCCAAAAGGCTTTTATTTCTCTCCGTGTCCCCATTGGAGTTATTCTGAGCACTGTTCCATAGACAAAAGATATTTAGACAGGAAGTGGTGAAAATTTCTCTAACAGGGACAGAGATAGCCACTTTTGCAGAGTGGGGAAACCTCTCTCAGGTTTATCCTACTGTCTGTGCCTTCCTATTTTTGTAGACCCCACCTCCTTTCATTCCTTCCTTTAGGGTCACAGAAAGAAAAAGTGTGGGGAAATCTCTCCAATGAGGACACATACATCAATAGAAACCATCAGATGTCCTAATAGAAATCAGATGTCCTAATCCTTAAAAATCCCATTAAAAATTAGAAAGAAATGGTTTGGCTTTAAGATTATTTCCTACCCAAATTATTGAGGCAAACCTATGGATTCATGACATTTGCCTGCCCTCACGCCTATACAGACCCTTTAAATGAAATGTCTGGTCATGTTATTGATCACTATGGGAGCCCAGAGCCGCAAATTCTGCAAGACAGGTTAAGTGTTTCAGTAATCTGTTAATTAAAGGGAATTGAATAGGTGGCAGGGCAAAGGGGACGTTATTTTGCAATAGATTTGTCACTGACCATTTTAGCTGTGTGCATTGATATGTCTGCAGTGGCAGTTCTCATCTCCCAGACATCTCCCAGGCATGACACTTTCAATGAGTGTAGAAACATAAGCCATCCTTTTAGAAAATCCAAATTTAATTGCATATTTAAAGGAAAACTGTAATACACACGTATTTGGCATTGAACTCCATCAACAGACACAGGCTATTTGCTGTGGGACTCTTAATTCTTTTATGACTTTCTGCATCTGGCTGTTCTGCTAACTAGATCACTACTCTTGCTTTTGCTATCATCTTTTAAATGGGTGTGGAACTAGAAATTCAGGCTACTCTGTTCTCTGCTCTCAGGTCTAGTCTCTCTGTGAGCCCTCTGCAGCCTTAGCCACACAAATTGGAACCTGAGAGGGAGCTTGTACAGTGCAGACTCAAGT